TATCGATAAATCACTTAATATTAGAGTCATGAGAAAATTAAGTGGTTGTCGTGTTCCACCGCACAAGGTTAAAAAAATTAAAGTAGCCATGGCGTCGGAAATTTTTAGTGGAACAGTTGCATCAGCTATAAAATATTGCGCTTTGTCTGGTATACAATCGGCGGACGGTACATCGAAACTGGATGAAAGCGCAATGGATACAGCCGAGTTTTTAGAATTCGTTGACACAATGTTCGACAGTGTGAACGAAGGCTTAATAAGAGCTGATCCTGGGAAACTTTTACGTGAGAAAGTTTCGGAGAAGTCATCTCATTTAAGAGTATGGTTAAATGCCATTAACGTTTTGAAAACTATCCAATTTGAAGCGGACAGAAAGTTTCCTCCGTGTTTAAGGCGCTGGATCGATACAGTGGAAGGGCTTGTTATACTTAGAAGTAAATTGTTTAATCTGGGCTATACTTCTTTTTGTACAAGAGCTTTCAACCTAGATCCCTTCGAAATCTTTTTTGGCCAGTTAAGGCAGCATAGGAATGTAAGTCCAACATGTGAAAATTTCCTTCACTATTTTAAATCAGTATTAATAAAAGCAAATTCTCCCTCATTTTTACGAAATTCACATTGTGAAAATGATTTGTTAGAAAGTAATTTAGTTTCATTGAAACATTTTTTGTTAAAGGGTAACTGAATAAAAATATTTTTACGGCACCCCCTGATGTTTTATTTTCTCAAGAATTGGGATGTGTAAGTTGGTTTATTGCAAATTAAAAAAAAAATCAAGGATTGATATTTGAGGAGTATACAGGGTGTTTCAGAAAGACCTCCCGTAAATTCAGAAAGTGATAGTACGACAAAAAATAAGAATTTTTTTGTCTTATGAACTATGTCTATATCCTCTTGTTTTCGAGATACAGAGCGACAAAATAACATATTTTAAATAGAATTTTTACGAAAATTTCCAAACGGTGCGAAATATTTTTATGAAATTTGCTATTCCGCTGGTCTAATTATTTTCTTGGATATTTCATAGAGGGCGCTAGTTATGCTACATTTGTATTACATTTTAAGTTATAATTTTTTTGAGGTTAGGTTTTTTGGGCTCCAATTTCTAATGTACAAATTTATTTTCTAAAAATAATGTACTCTTGTTAGAACTTCCTAATGGGGACGGTTTTCGAGAAAAAATGCTTTTAATTGAACTCTTACAATATTACGGTGTAGAAAATAAGTGACTTTTCTCAAAGTAGGCTTATGTCAAAATTTATCCACCAAATTCGTCAGTGAACGAACCATGGCCACTATCGAATTCTGTATATTACTGATATACAGACTGTTACAAATTCGCTTCTCACTACAGGGATCTCGGAAACGGTAAGAGATTCGAACAGCTTAAATGGGAGCAAAGTTGCGTAATCTGGGGACCAACATTATCAGCGCCGGATTTACGCTTGTGAGGCCTATAGGCAGAAATTTGGTGGGGGCCTAGTTAAGGGATTGAAAAAAACTCTACTTTTTTTATGCATCTTTCAAGATTTTCTCAAACAAAAATTTACAAATCAACAAAAAATAGTGAATATTTTTCCCACTAATTTAATTATAAAGTGTAGTGCATAATAATGAATTTTAGTACTAAAATAATAATAATACAGTAGGTGCTCGCTAATCGGACATGTCTTAGACCATTAAGTTGTCCGATTACTGGAAGTGTCCCACTATTGGAAGTAATCCAAAATATCAGAGTCTGGCATTTAGAAACACTCAATTTGATTAGGCTATAGAGTTTAATATAAAGTAGGGGACGTTTATTGAAAAACTATACTTTTAAAATTAAGTAAAATAATATGTATTATTTGTATGATTGTATGTACTGTTAACACGTTTTAATTGTACTGTAAATGAAATAACTTATCTATTGTGGGGTGGAGTGCAATGAACTTGCTTTTGTCCGATTACCAAGCGGTCACCCATCAAAATCATCCGACTATAGAGCTGACCATTCCTACACCAAAAGCGTTCAAAATGGTCCGATTAAATGTCGGACTATTGAACGTCCGATTAGCGAGCGCCTACTGTACTTTTAATTGATTACTTATTGATTAATTAATTTACTTAAAAAATTAATTAATTTATATAATTTGGTAAAATTTTGGTTACAAATTATTTAACACTTATTATTACATAATTTACGATAATGCTTTTCGAACTTTCTCGTCAGCAAAATCAGCAGAAAATTTTTTTCAAATTGGTGGGGGCCTATAGGCAGTGCTTAGTCTACCTATGCCTAAATCCGGCGCTGAATATTATGCCCCTAAAAAATCAAGGTTAACATGATTAGTTTTCGAAATATTAAAAAAAACAAACGAAATTTTGAAAATCCGTTCGTGTTTCATATCAGCCTTTGTATTGAAAAAAGAACACTTTCTCATGGCAACGTTTTGCCCTCTATCAAATGGCATAGTCAATTTTTATATGGAACGTTTCGTCTTTCCAGGACCATTATCAACTGCATTTTTTTAAATACGGCCCTGGAAATTGTACAAATATTTTCCAAGCCTTTATCACTTCCAGTACTGTACTGCCTCAGCCCCAACCAGGTTGAGACGTTTTGTTTGCAAAAATTCATCTTCAATGTATTCATTCCAAATGTATCTAAACTTTTTTTTTATTTCTATATTTACTGAATTATCGTACACTCTAGGTGTCGTTAGACCCTGTGAAATCTACCTAATTATTTAAACTATTACCGTCACATGTTACAATAAAATATTAGTTTTAACCCCATGCCTAGTTATTTCTAGGTTTCTCAAGTGCTCAAAATTCAGACAAACTCTGATCTAATTTTTTTCAGGATATTCATACAAATACATCTGACGCTCTTTCACAGTTGCGGTTACAGGTATCATAAATTCCGATCATATTACGCTTATCTTCATTTTCAACATTTGTTAAAACGGAAATGTTTTTGAACATTTACTGTAATTTTTTAAGTACAAATTCATTTGGAGTTTTGGTTCATATACATTTTTAAGAATTAATTTGTCATAATAAAATTAAAATTGTAATGCTTTAATTTTGATGCACCAACTTATCACAACCAGGTGATGGTAATAGCCCAGATTTTGAATTAATCTGGGGTAATAGTTTAAATAACTGGGTGGATTTCACAGGGTCTAACGACACTTAGAGTGTACGATAATTCAATAAACAAAAAAATTGAAATAAAAAGTTTAGATAAATTTGGAATAAATACATTGAAGATGAATTTTTCGAGACAAAACATCTGAGTCTGGTTCGGGCTGAGGAAATACAGTACTGGAGGTCATGAACGCTTGCAAATCATGTAATAAAATTTCCAGGGCCGTATTTAAAAAATGAAGTTGATGACGGTCCTGGAAAGACGAAACGTTACATATGAAAATTGATTATGCCATTCGAAAAAAAAAAATTTCGTTCTTTTTTTATATTTCAAAAACTAATCATGTTAGCCTTGATTTTTTAGAGGCATAATGTTGGTCCCCAGATTACGCAACTTTAACCCCATTTAAACTAATTCGTATCTCTTACTATTTCCGAGATCCCCGTAGTGAGAAGCGAATTTGTGATACAGTTTGTACAGAATGTACAGTTTTTTTTTTATGGTGCTTCATCGCTAAAAGTTCAATTTTTTTCATCGATGCACTGTTGTTGAGACAGTTTACGTCAAAAGTTGTAAAAAATAATCGCACAGAAATGTTTACAATTTAATTTTTTGGCCGAGATGGATTTTTCGAACAATACAAATAATGCCTGTACATCAAAACATTCTGGGTTAGTATATAGACAAAACGTCAAATTTTATGATGGTTGTCAGATGGCCCGAAATATAAAAGGCAACCCTCATATAGTACAAACGATTTGTGATATATTTCCTTAATATACCATATTCTGAAAATGCTTACTTTCCGATCTACAGTGTGTTAAAGTTTTAATAAAAAAATGCATATTTAAAAATATATCGGAAACCGCTCAGAATATTTTAATGACATTTTACAGGCTTTGACAGTTAACAACAATACATGTTTTACGATAAAAATATTATTCAGTTTCACCCGTGGCGTGCGCATAGGCATGTCTAGATATTGTTAAAGAAAAAAATAATACAGCACTGATTTTTCTTAATATAAAAATTGTTTTTGAATTCCTTGTTCAATTTGGAAGAGAAAAGGTAACTCGACTGCTTTTCTTATGACGCACCATAAGAAAAATAAAATAGATTTATTGCATTGTAATTCGGTTTCAATAATTTGAAAAATTGCAGAAATTATGCACAACTGCTTTACACTCAAATATTCAAAGTGACAGCTATTATTAATTCTGTCAAACAATAACAAACGAGTGCACAGCCTACTTGCTAATTTCTGTTTAGATAATGAATAGTGAACCTAAAAATTGATCAAATTTTTTTAGACTGATGTTAACTGTGAGGAATAATTTTTTGTAATAAAATTGATACAAAAAAAGCTGGTGCTTTAACAATATCTAGATACTTGCACATGGCTGTGCAATACGTCACTGGTGAAACTGAAAACAATATTTTTATCGTAAACATGTATTGTTGTTAACTGTCAAAGCCTGTAAAATTTCATTAAAATATTCTGAGCGGTTTCCGCAATATTTATAAATTTGCATTTTCTTGTTAAAAACTCACCCTGTAGATCAGAAACTAAGCGTTTTCGGAATATGGTATATTAAGGAAATATATCACAAATCACTTGCACTATAACCTCTTCCAAGGAATGCATCGTCTTACCAAACACCCTGTATATTTTCGTACTAGTGCGATGTTACTCATTTTGATATTACATTGAATGTCAAGAAATTTTAATTATCGTTACGACTGTAGAATCTATACGTCCAATAAAATTTTTTTAAACAAATGGACTTATTATTATTATTTCCCATCAAAAACAAATTAAAGTGAAGACACTTAAAAAATGAACGGAAAAACTTAAAACCAAAAAATCTTGAATTTATACTCTTTATTTCAAATGAATATACAATAATTAATACAAATTTTACTTAAAGACAAAACGTTGCGGAATTAGACGTTATAGCATCATAAAAGAAGGCATTATTGAGCGGTTTATACTGATGCGTGATTAATTTGATAACCTCGTGTGCAGCACAACCGCCAAGAATTGCAGAGACCGAATGTAGTTCCGCACCTCCATACCTGCACACCTCGTGCACCCTCTCGTCTCTTAGAACATGAGAGCAGCTCCATTCCGATAACAGTTTACTTATGATCCCCTTCAGCTTTAGCACGTCGGGTTCGACTTGGTCGTCGAATTGCCCAGGGTACGTATTAAATTCGCTTATGAAACGTTCTAGACCTCGCAGTATGATGTAGTAAAACATAAGACTATCGGGATCCTCCAGGTAAGAAGATAAGTCCAAACTAGTCCGTTCGTATTCGTCGGCTATGCAGCTTCCTCTGACAACGTGTAGTTCACTTGCGTGCTTACAAAACAGTTTAACCTGGAAAAGGTAATAAGTAAAATTTGTCACGTTACGAAGAATTAAAAGGACCTCGCACTTTTCTTATGGGAAGTGGGTCTCGGCCAATTTTTTTTAATCTTCGCAGGTTGATAGTTCTTAATATGTAGATCAAAAGTCTCAATGGGCACAAAGCCCCAAATCCACCCCTTCCCCCCAAAAACTGCCTCCAAGTAGTGGGGAGTTTACTTGTTGTATGAAAAAAAGTTTCAAATAAAAGTTGTTTATTTTTACCAAATCTAAAAAAAACTATTCTTGTTTTTTTTCGAAAAATCAATGTTTTAGCTTTAAAACGCTACCAAAGTTTAACACAGAGTATACGTATGATAGCTGTACATATACACGTGTGTTAAGTTTAACACCGTTTTACAGCTTGAATATTACTTTTTCAAAAAACTCACATATAAACTTTTTTTTAGATTTAGTCAAAATAAATAACTTTTACCTGAAATATTTTTTCATAAAATCACAAATAAACTTTCTACAGCTATATAAACAATTAAATTGTTAACAACAATTTTCCTGACCCGATTTCGTAAAATTGAGTTGCAGATTCAAATTTAGTGTGAAAAAATATGTGCAAAAAATATATGCGCAAATATACGTGCAAAAAATACGTGCAACTATAAAATACAGTAATCTGGAAAATCCGTAGGCTGATTCGTAGGGGGCGGGGGATGTGTGAGGGGCGGGGTCAAGTGGGGCAGTTTGTTAATCAAAAATGTAGTTGTTTGGGGTTGATTAAAAAAAATAATTATTTTACATGCAGAAATCAGTTAAATCGCCCCCGCTACTTGGAGGCAGTTTTTGGGGAGGAAGGGGTGGATTTGGGGCTTTGTGCCCATTGAGACTTTTGATCTACATGTTAAGAACTATCAACCTGCAAAGTTTCAAAAAAATTGGCCGAAACCCACTTCCCATAAGAAAAGTGCGAGGTCCTTTATGATTTTTTACGATTGAAAATACCTAATATAAATAAGGAAAACGGTGGAACGAAATGGTTGTCAAGTCATTAGTACAGAAGTCAACTGATGTGGCAGAGGGGGCAGCATATAATTATTTGGTAGGCTGTGTTTGCGTTGGTAAACCCCAACCAAAATTCAGTTCAGTCAAACGTCAAATGATATAAGTCTCTCACATTGATCGAAGCCTACGTTCTTTCGATTCAAAGACTGACTCGAGGTCTCATAACTAGTGAGCGATATTTAATCTATACGTGTAGGAAATTATTGTAAAGGAGTAAATTTTATCTATACAGGGTGTTTTTAAATGAAGTAGCAAAAATGGTACCGGTGAATGTAGAGCCAAAAATAAGAGGATTGAAGTAAAAATACCTTATATGAAAGTTGCACCCCTGAGGCGATATATCCTCTTAAAGGAGGGGATTGAAATTCACATTTTAATTTTTTTCTTTAACATGGGGAATGCTAGAGACACGAAACTTGGTATGAGCATCCTATTAATAAACAGATAACTTTTCAATATTTGTTCGATCATTGGCGTATTTTATAAAGGAGTGAAACAATCAACCCCATTGCAATATTTTATTAGAAATTTGTTATATGAAGCAAATTATTTATTTAATTGGGAAGACTGATTTATTGCGCACCTTTTTTACCTCTTGTAATTTTTCGATAAACCGATAGTTTTCTAGTCAAAAAATTAGATGCGTCATCTTTCACTAAAGGGGTAATTGCGGAAATTTGTAAAAATAAAGTAGAAGGATGTCATAAGAAATAAATTGTTATTTATCATATTAATAAATTGACACTTTCTGTCGATAAGCTGGTAATTTAGTAATAACCTGAAGAATAATTTGCTATTAATTAATGAAAAATGTTTGATAACTTATGACTATGGGACATGTAATAGGTAAAGTTATTTATCTGAAACAAAATTTAATATAAATGAAAAACAAGAAATGCAAAATTAAATTTAAAGAATATTTCCAAATAATTTCCATTTTGCTGCAAGCATAACCTAATACGTCTGTTGAAGTTATAACGCACCCGCACAAATAGTTCTTGGTTATTACGAAGGTCATCTGCTGCCTGAAATATTCTTAAACGTAGTTGTTCTAAGGAGGCAACAGGAGTGGCATAAACAGTACTTTTTGTGTCCCCACAAAAAGACATCCTTAGGGATTAGGTTAGGTGAACCTGCAGGCCAACAAACAGGGGCATCACGACCAATCCAGTGATTGGGGTAATTTAAATTTAACCATTCTCTACGAGGTGTGACAATTAAGTAATGACACTGATCCCATAAAAGCCGTATATTTAAAAATTATTCTACAACTCTGCCATCCCCTTCAAAGTAGTCCCCTTGGGCAGCTATACAACAATTCCAGCCCATTTTCCACTCTTCGTAACATTTCTGGAAAGCTTCGACTGGGATGTCTGTGAGTATCCTCGTCACGGTCTCTTGGATGTCTGTAACCGACTCAAAATGGGATCCTTTGACCACCGATTTTGCTCTAGGGAACAGAAAAAAGTCACAGGGTGACATATTGGGCGAATAAGGCGGCTGTTGCAACACGGTGATCCCTTTAGAGGCCAAATACTGGGACACGCTGAGGGCGGTGTGGCACGACGCATTGTCGTGATGAAGACTTGATTTATGGTTTGCATCGGTGGAACAAGTTCTTTGTGGACGATTCCACGGCTATTAAAAATGGTAATGATTATCGTTTTCATCTTCGACTTGCTCATGCGAGCTTTTTTCGGACAGGGGGAGTGCGGAGACAACCATTGTGAGCTTTGGCATTTGGTTTCCGGGTCATATTGGAAAAACCAGCTCTCATCGCCTGTAATAACTCGATCAAGCAGCGTGGGATCGTTTCCCACTTGCTCCAAACAGTCTTCTGCGACGGTCATTCGATGCCACTTTTGCTCCTCAGAAAGGTCGCACACGGCTTTTTCATCTTTAAATCGTCGGTTAAAATTTGTATGACTGTTTCACGGTTCATACCCCGTTCTGAGGCCAACATTATGAAGATTTACTGCACCTACTCTAGGAAAATTTGCTTCATCGGTGAAAAGTATATTCATTAGGAAATTTAAGTCATGCCTGGAAATATTAATGTACCATTGACAAAAATCCACGCAGTTAGGTAAATCAGGGTCATTAAATTCTTGCGCGAGTTGATGGTGAAAAGGGTATAAAAGATTTTCATGAGCTACATTCCGCACAAGACTGTGAGAAACTTGAAGTTGCCTGGACACCTGTCTTGTGCTTGTACCACAGTCTTGTTCTAGATGCTCCAGTATAGCTTCCTCAGTTTAAACAGTTGGGACATTACACCTTCTTCCGGCACCCTCACGATTGGGCTGAATTTCCCCAGTTTCGCGAAGCCTTCTTTCCACCGAAGCCAATGTTTGTCTATGAGGAATCGGTCGGTTTGGATATCTTTGGTGGTATAATCTTACTGCAGCGTTACTATTGTTTCTGGATCCGAAAAACATTTGGAGCATGTTCTTCATATTCGTCATTATTATATTATTTGCCATAATTATTCTGATAAAAAATTAATTGGCACTAATTATTGGTTGACAGAAAGTGTCAATTTATTAATATGATAAATAACAAATTTATTTGTTATGACATCGGCCTACTTTATTTTTACAAATTTTCCCAATTACCCCTTTAGTGAACGATGACGCATCTAATATTTTTACTAGAAAACTATTGGCTTTATCAAAAAATTACAAGAGGTAAAAAAGTTGCGCAATTTTTTTAATTAAATAATTTTACTTGGTTGTAAAATTTGAAAAATGAAAAAAATTCTTGTTAACACCACTCAATACTTCATCTCATAACTAACCTCGTTTTCAGTAATCACGTCTTGAGGCAGCCCTAAGTTTCTTGCTATCTGTGAAGCTCTTCGATAGACTGCTTCCGCCTGTGACTGCGCCTGCTTATGATAAAGCTGCTGTAAAGTAATATAACTATTCGTGTCCGCGGCCATATCCGGCAAACTCCCTTTAACTGGTAATGTACCATTAGCTTGTACCAGTTCTCTTAATGCGGCACACATAATCCAAAAGGGAGAACTATTTTGTGTTAGGTTAATGCAACTGTCATCATTTAGAAGTGCCTGTATATTACTTGGGACTGTTTGGGGGTGGATGCAAGTGTTGACAAAATGTATCGCCTCTTCGAAATTTTCTTCTAAGATCTTTAAACCATTTTCGTCCGGAATAGGGCTATCCCGGATCATTTTCTTCAAGATGTTTTTTTGTTCTCTAGTCTTTGGCAAATTTCCTAAAAGAAATAATATTTTCAACATTGTTTTGGGGTATAATTCAAATTACAATAATTTTTTTTTTCTGTAATTAGTTACCCACATAAAATAATGATTAAATAAAATAAATAATTACGATAATAATAATATAGGACAGACAATTTAAAATACCTTCATGGAATTCCTTATATTTGCTTAAATAATAATACAAAATAACAACGGCCGGAACTTGACTACGCGCTCTTTGGTCCAAAGTAGCGACATTGATGCTGTCCAAATATTCCTTCAATGCAGGCCATGGTTTATCTAGTCGTATATCGGGGTTTTCGCTATCAGGATGGGATTCTATCACTGTATGTTCTTTTACTTGTAATCTGATGTACCCCAAAAATCCAATACTACGACACACTAGTAATGGAACTTGGGCGTCCCATAAATATCGAGATAAGGGTATTAGTGTCCTACAAATAAAAATGTGTTGAGTACTACGTTCTGTGTTCTTCATTTTTTAATACAAGGGTTCGTAACAGAATAGGTCAAATTTTAATAATGTCATGGATCTTCTAAAAAGTTTCCATATTTTTAAGATAAACTTTATTTTTTTTTTTTAGATATTTTGATGAAATTTGACTTTGTATATTTAACAAGATTTGTATGATTTTTAACAAAATATTAAATCAGTAATAAGTGCAAATACTTAATGATCAGAAAAAAATATAAACAAATCTTGTATCATCACGAAAATGTTCCTTATAAAACATTTTTTTTCTCTAAATGAACAAAGTACTGAACACGACTTATGGATATTACAGGACAAGGATCATATCATTGAGTTATCCTTTAGTAGATACTCTTTAACCATCCTATTCAAATTCGCCTTTAAAGGAACTGAAACTGCGGCGAAAAGAATTGGTCATTTTAAATACTTCACATTTTTTTTTATTGTTATCTCTCATTTACAGTCACTGCTTTTGGTTGTTTTGATTGTATTTGGCAAATAACCACCATATTTATAAAAAAAATAAAAGACTGTTCTATTCTATTGAGAAAAAAATATTGGGAGTTACCGATCTTCAAAAATAAAATTAAAAAATTTAAAGGACCTAAGTTAAGTTGATTTAATAATCACTTTATCTTCAACTACGGGAAGGTGCCCTTGAAGTATGGCCCATTCACTTTCACACACCCTGTATATACATAAAATTAAGATCATTCTGTAATTATTGAAATTATTATTTTGTTTTATCAGAAATTAATTTTAATCTTTTATTTATTGAACTTCCTTGTAGTTTTTTTATATTGTTAAATTTCGAAAAAAAATAATATCTGCAACACTACTGCAGAAGAACCAAATTTTGTACATGAGTTAGGTTTATTACTGGTTTTCTTTGACTATGATTTAAAGTTAATTGAAGCACTACAAGGTGTTCATGGAGATGACTCACCGCTAAAATTGTACCAAACTTTTTTTTCATTGACTGAATTGAAAAATAATATTCACAGCAGAATTTAATTTAAAATTTTTTTTTACTCGTTAAATTTTAAAACACTTTATGGGCTTCAAGAAAAACTGTTAACTGAAAAAATATTTTAACAGTGTTTATTAGAAAATAATTGAAAGCCAGTAATTAGTCCGGTCAAAATAGACATTTCAAATAACGAAAATTCCGACAGAGCTAAATTTTGGTGGAGACCTTGGGTACACCATTAGAAATAAAGTGTCAAAAGTCCCCATCGATCCCATGTGTGCTAAAAAAGTTATTCGGGGTCAAAGGTCAAAATTTGAGGTTTTTTGGATTTTTTCGAAAACGGTAAGTTTTATCAAAAAAGTAGCCCTGACAAAAATTATGGATCTTAAAATTATCTACAAAAATGGTTCTTATACTTTTTTTTCTAAGAATCACCATTCCTGAGATATCGCGATTTTAATAGTTGACGGAGTCACTTTCTACATGATATGTACACATTTCCACACCACCTGTGAAGTAGTGTACTTTGGCGCAATTTTTTTAACGTGGTTTGCCCGGTAGGCCTACTCTACGAACTGTTATGACGAAATTTTCAGGGACAATACTCTTTTAACTGCATGATGATTATTGATATTGATATTAGTTATTGACTTTAACTGTAGTTCTGATTTCTTTTGATATTTTAATCTGATTCATACTCTTCAAAGTCGACTTCAACAGTCATGTCTTCTTCGATTTCTTCTTTTTTCTTCCTTTTCTTCTTGCTGGATGTTCATAAATTGTTCAAATGAAGATGAATCAGCTGTCTCTTCATCGAAATCACATGAATCTTCGTCTGTTGTATTCAATTGGACATTTGAGCAAGACTGGCTTTGGCAATTAGTACACGCTGCAGAACACAGTAACTACTTTATAGCCACATTTAGCACTACAATCTTTTTTACAATTGTAAAAAATAGTGTTTAGGAGTTTTTCCGGAGCAGGTGGGTGTAAAGTTTGAATAGGTTCCAAAGTATTATTTGTTAATTTCTAACCTTCTGGGTTCAGTTGATTGCCTAGCCATGTCTGAACTTGATAGTATACTCGATACAAGTGTTGATTAGCAGAAGCGGTTGTTGGAGGAAGACACATTAGTTGTACTTGTTTCTTGTTTCGCGTATTTTTTAAAAAAGTTTTTACAATAGAGTAGCCAGATGTTAATTAAGGTCATGCGGGTAGAGGGGATTGACTAAGGGACTGAGTTTCTTTTGTGTGTATATTCTCAGAATAGTATAGTTTATACATATAAGAGACACAAATAGACATTTTTACTTGTATTAAGTGCCTGACTATGTATATACGTGGCATATATGTGCATATCATGTAGAATGTGACTCCTTCAACTTTTAGAATCGCGATATCTCAGGAATGGTGATTCTTAGAAAAAAAAGTATAAGAACCATTTTTGTAGATAATTTTAAGATCTATAATTTTTGTCAGGGTTACTTTTTTGATAAAACTTACATTTTCGAAAAAAAATCCAAAAAACCTCAAATATTGACCTTTGACCCCAATAACTTTTTTAGCACACCTGGGATCGATGGGGACTTTTGACACTTTATTTCTAATAGTGTACCCAAGGTCTCCACCAAAATTTAGCTCTGTCGGAATCTTCGTTATTTGACGACTATTTTATGACTAATTTGACCGGACTATAATAGGCAATGAATTTATCTTTCAAACATGTCAGTTAGTAATAAAATTATTCTATTTCAACAATTGCCTCTGATTGTTGTTGACAAAATATCATATTCGCTTATTTAAAAACTACCTAGGTACTTGTTTTCTTTTTGTAGAATTAGGAGTGAAGTGAAGTAAAATTTATTTGGCCAATTGTCAAATTTGAAAGATAAAGCCTACTACTAACTTTTTGATTATTTTCTAATGAACATTGTTAAAACCTTGTGTCAGTTAATATGGTTTCTCTTGAAAACCATAAAGTTTTTTAAAATTTAACAAGAGTAAAAGAAAATTTAAAATTAAATTCTGCCGTGAATTAATTATTTTTCAATTCGGTCAATGAAAAAAAAGTCTGTACAATTTTAAGGGTGAGTTTTCCCCAATGAACACCTTCTAGTGCTTCAATTAACTTTAAATCATAGTCAAAGAAGACCAGTAATAAACCTAAATCATGTACCAAATTTGGTTATTTTACGGTAAAGTGTTGCAGACATAAATTTTTTTCGAAATTTAGGGCCCCCCTTTGGGGGCTAATAACTCCTCAGGGGTGCAAGTTTGGTTAAATTACAATATTTTGGACACCCCTACATGCACCTACCCTGTGTTGATTCGTATGCGGGACACCCTGTATATTGTTTTATTATAATTGATTTAGAATATTAAATTTATTGCATTTCTTACGTACATGTATATCGTTGGCCTCCAGAAAAAGTATCGTAACTTTGTTTGACAAGAACTAAAGAATGAAATTTACCAAAATTTTGTCAGATACCACATTGTTAAAAACAATTATTTAGTACCCAAATTCTATGGTGGCAGTTTTAAGGCTTTCATAGCCCGTGCTGATATTTAAAGGTCCACCGTGATGTTGATCTTGATTCTTATTGTTGGTTCTAAGACTGCTACGGTAGGAACAGCTCTTCAGATAATGCTGGTACTCCGAGATACTCTGTAGTGGCCTCCGTTGGACGTGACATGGGCTAGTACGGAACGACTCACAGGATCGTCATTGTCTGAAGAACAGTTCCGCTGTAGTGGCCTTAGAACCAACCAAAAGAACCGAAATCAATTCAAGGGGGACCTAGGGGTTCTGACAGTAGATCTGTCTCCATAGACCCTAGCCCGACAACAAGGGCATGTCAAAGATTCCTAGCTAAGGCAGAGGAAGTGCAATGTAAGAGTGTAATTGATGATCAAGTACATAGGCCTCGGCATAACAAAAACAAAATGGTATTTTTTACGATGGTCTAATTTAGTATAATCCCATTCCCTTCATTTCAATTTATACATTTAATTAATATAAATTAATTTTTTATGTAGGGATATTATTTTTGCAGAATTTAGATTAATTCTATAAGATAAATAAATAGGAATGGATTAAGGAAACATATTTTGTTGCTATTTCGTTGAAATAAAAATTGGATGTTAATTTTATATCTTTATTAAAATTTTATTAAATAAAACCCTTATATACTGTTACAATATGAAATTTAATAACAAAAAAAATATATATTAAATACTATTTTGCTAGTGGGAACTTTTCTAATTCTTAACGTGGACTGAGTTTATATTTTAAAATTTACTATAAGAAACATTCTTCAGTCAAGGCTTATAATTGACTTAACTTATTCCCACTTTATTTATTTATTTTTATTGCAATAAAAAAATTGGACGTGATTGTATCATTTATGTAAATTGTTAAGTTTAAAAGAAATGATTAAAAACCATAAAAAAATTATAAAAAATATTTTCATTTTAAACATAAGAAAATCATATGGGTACTTAAATGTGATAATGAATGGTGGGGCTGGTATTTAATGGTTGATTTTGATGCTTGTTTAGAGAACTTTCATCATACAGGGGCTATGATGAAAGTTTGTATGTTCATAGATTGTATAAGAAACCATATGCAAATATATGTGAAACTATTTTTATTTTGTGACTTGTTAAATTTTTGCATCACAAAAGTTCTCTATGTGAGCAGAGAGATCATCATCTAGAAAGCAGTACAGGTTGTACAAATCATTATCAAAATATGGCCATTTTAATATTCCCCAGTCACCACTAACAGAATCACCCTTTTAACTAATTAATTATACTTCAGGTTTTTAATTAACAAAATAACTACTCTCATCCTAAGCGATAGATACTGATGTACTAGTTTTTGGAAGACTTTGCTTTTAACGATTCCATATATTTTTCCAAATAATTTTGAGTTTTAGGGTCCTGAGCATATTGCATAAAACTATTTAAGTCATTTTCGCGATCTTTAATCATGTTTTTAATTGTATCTTCCCTTACATGTTGCTTTGTAATTTTTCTTGCTTCTGGTTGAATATTTTTAAATTTACTTAAGAACTTTTCAGCTCTCGCAATGCCTTCTTCTTTATTTTCCACAATTTCATCGATTAATCCAATACTTGCTGCTTCGTCAGTCTTGAATAAATGTCCCGTTGTTAAAGCTATTTCTGCTCGTCTTTGGCCAACGACATTTTTCATTGAAACAATAAACCATTTTGGAGCTACGAGTCCAAGTTGAGTTTCGTTCAAGCCAATTGTGTAATTTTTTACCATAATTCTGTACTCACAAGACAGTGATAATAAACAGCCTCCAGCAGGCGCATGGCCGTTAATAACTGCCACAGTTGGATATGAAGAGCCATATAATTTTATCCAAGTATCTTGTAAGGTCGTCCAGAAATTTTTAAGTCTGTCCGCATTGGGTTTATATATTTCCATGAGATCTAATCCTGCAGAAAACACCGTCTTTGCATTTGATGTAAGGATTAGGCCTCTACATTTAGATTTCTCTAATTCTGTTAGAGATGATGAAATCTCTCCCAAGAGGTCTAGATTTAGGCTATTTACTGGGGGACGTTGAAGAGTTAATGTTGCCACTCCAGATTTATCGTCTACGTTCACACTCACAAACTTTGCTTCACTACTAAATTTTCTTATGAAACTACTAATCCTCGCTTTATTTAAAACTTTTAGCGCCATTTTTTATATTACTATAAAATTTTAATAGCAGTGGAACAACTGTATTGTATTGTTTTTTTGAAGATTAAAATGAGTCCAAAGTCCATAACACATAAGTAACAAACATTGTACTAAACTAACCTAGCAAACCTACACACAAAACCACTGATTTTAGTTATCCCATATCATTAGTAAATCAATGAAATAGAATATGGACACGAAGCACTATAGTCATCTTGGAGTTGAATAATATCCAATTATCAATTTAATATGAATACACATATAGTGCTACATATGACTATCTCTTTTCAAGTCCCTTATCCCTGATCTACAATAGCAATTTCTGTTTTCAAAATTTATTATCTTAAAAAATTAGACTGAGCTCAAGTTCAATTTTTTGTATGGTTAATTAAATTAATGTTATCACAGTTTATAAATTGGTGGATGTAAGCCATCTGTTAAGCCTAATGCTTTGTCTTCAACATTAATCTGTTACATTAACTCTTCAAATCTCAAAGCACAAGCAACTAAATACCTAATATTGCATTGTCTAATAGATTTGCATTTTTGCACAATATATCCAAATTTATATAAGGATTACATACCTGTATTTTGAAAAGTTTAACAACTATAAAAGTTGAGACTTACTTTTCAGGAAGAGCTGAGGCAATTACAACTGTAAAGTTATTAAAAAAATCCTGAGTATGTGACATAACGTGTTCTGGGGATTCGTCTATATAATCACCTCTTACATCGGGATTTAATTCAAGTAAACACTGTGTGGCAACTTGTGCCCTAGACAATCCTATACTATCATTTTCTAAGAAGAAACTGAAACAACAAAATGTAATAAATTCGATACTGCTAAATCAAAAGGAAAATCTACTTGGATCCAATGTCCTCTTCAGATACTTTCTCTCCATCAACAATAGTAAATGAACCGATACCAGGTAAAACCAGACTTTTCAAAATTTCGGTACCTAGAGCCGTTGCATTGATTAGGCATATTTTAGAGTTCTCTAAAAACTTTTGCCCATGGTCGCCCCATAATCTATAATTATTATAACATTAGGAAATTTTGTTAAATATTAATATTTGTCTTACCGTAATTGTCTATCATATTTTTTGCTTTTATCACTTTGTTCAGGTGATTTTGGGGATGGAGAAGACATCTTGATATTGAATTAAAAATCTAATTATTCTTCAATTCAATCTATTTTTGAAAATGAAACCTGCATCTACACTTTTAAATCATTTTAAAAATACAAAACATTGTTTTAGGTTATATTATAATATGCCTCGTCTTCTTCTCCTTCCATTGAGTAATCCTACCGGTTAGATATTATTATTCAAAGAGGTAGGAAGAGATAGGAGTGATAATTAGTATCTGCATACGTGCCCAATATCATGTATATGTTGTAGTGAATACTTGCTTTATTTTGGAGCAATAAACACAAATTTGTTCAAGTTATAGGTGTCTAATATTTGTCATTTAAGACTAGGTAGTAACAGAAAATTTTAAATATTTAAAATTTTATTTTTATTAAATTTTAAAATTAAATCAATTTAAAATTAATAAAATAAATTTAATTTATTACAAATTTAGTTTAGCCACAGTCAAATATTAAATAAAGAGTTTCATAGAAATTTTCAATATTTGATCTTATAAAAAAACTACATTAAGCATACATATCTAACGGACATAATAAACAATACTCAATAGAAACTTAGACCTAAAATAAAAATACTAATTAAATCGCTAATCACAAACAATAAAAAATGAAAGTCACTAAGATTACACAAACCAGTTTAAAAAGTAATATCAAAATCCAATAAAATAGATAGAAATAAGGTGTCAACCAGCAGTTACCAACTGATATTTTGAAAGCCACCCAAGACTTCTTAACATCTACAGCCGCCTGTGCTTCTGCGGTCGTCTCCTTCATCCCTTCTGTAGCTGTCATCATCGGTGTAGGAGACTGTAGAGTCATTATCATAGATAAAAGAGTTGTAGTCATTATCATAGATAAAAGAGTTATGGTCATTATCGGTCCTCCAGTCAGAGCATCTAGAACTGCTGGTACTAGCAGATGATGGTGAATCCGGATAATTTGAATAGTCATCACATCTGGAATGGTATCTATATCTAGGTTTGGGCTTTGTTGGAATCTGTAAAAAAATATTGACAGTAATATACAAATCACTAGATATTTTAATGTTGTAGGTACATTGCAGAGATCGAGTGTAACCCACCCTCCCTATTTTTTTAGATTTAGATTTTCATTGCGACGTGTCGGTTGCGAGAAACCATCATCAACTTCCTTTTTTCTTATGGGCCCCATATCAATTTTAAACTGATGAAATAGAGCATTTTTTGGCTTTTAATGAATTATAAGTTAAATATTTTTAATAAATCTGGAAACATCATATAATTGTTCAAAACTATTATAGAATAGTTAGAAATTTTATTAAAATTTGAGACTATTCTATAATAGTTTCGAAAAATTATGCGGTGTTGCCTGACTTATTAAAAATAAGATTTTTGAGGTTGTTTCTGAAATTTTTTCTTACTTACATTATATCATTGAAAAGCCAAAAAATGCTCTATTTGTTCAGCTTAAAATTCAATGTAGCGACCATAAGAAAAAAGAAAGTTGATGATGATGATTTCTCGCAGCCGAAACGTCGCAATGAAAACATAAATATACAGTGAAAGTTCTCGAAAAACTTGATGTGGAAAAGAGTTTTCAGATTTTAAAAATTCGTCTAAATAAAAAAGTTACAGACGATTTTCGAAAACGCCACATTTACGTTTTTTCTCAACAAAGAAAATACATCCGGAGAAATGACATGTTAACCCGGAACCCGAAGATGTAGCATCAAAACCGGAAAACTCCGGGCCAAACCCGGAGATCTGGCAACCCTAGTTGTAGAGAAAAGCTTAGACAGGGAGATTTCTTATATGATTGATGCAACAATTTCATTATAAAAAGACATTTCCTATAAATTTTGAGAAAAAAATGTAATCGGTCTGCTTCTTTTAGGGCTTCAGAAATGAAGCTACAATTTTATAAATATATAGAGGGTGGACCATTGGTGTGAGGAAATAAAATCACTCAATTGTTACTCATAATACAGAAAAAAAGTTTATATAAAAGTTGTAAAGAATCGAGAAACCTAAACTATAAAATTAATTTGAAAGATACAGGGCGATGAGTAAAAACGGCATACGCCAAATATTACATTTTTTAAATGGAACACCCTGTATATTTTGAAACATATGGATTTCCGAGAAAATTATTAGAAAATATGTCAATATAAACAGTTTATCATTTTAGTGCGGGGTTGCCAGGTTATGTAGGAAATTCTTCGAATTTTGGAAAAAACATGACCTCGAAGAAGTCGTATTAACTTTCAGCTACTAGCACTTGGAAGAAAATAATTAGACAGAGTTATAGGCAAATGTTAGACAAAGGCTCCTATATTAGCTAATATCGATATATTATACAGGGCATTTTTTATAATACGATCATTTTTAGAAAGTTTAAACTTGATTTTCTAAAATTCTTTAAATGGAACACCCTGTATTTTATTGTTCTATTTTATTCACATATCGGTCCACTTCAATTTTTATTAAGCATGTTCTATAGGTATCTAAAATTGTTAGTTTTTAAGATATAGCAACATTTTTCTGATAAAATTTAATTTTTATTATTTTATAGAATACCACAAATAAACATTATATAATAAAATTATAGTCCAATTAACTAAGCCTTTAAATCGAAATTTTGTCAACTTGGCTGAATTTTTGAAATGAGTTAGTTTAAGGTATATTATAACAATAAGTGAGAGTAATTTTTTGTTCAACCCCCGGCCAAGGGTGGAAAAAGATAAAACAAAGGGCTTTTTCAAGATAACTCAAAAAGGGTAAGAGCTAGAAAAAAAAGTTTTTCATGAAAGTTGTAAAGCAGACAATTCTACATAAAAATGGCCTCTTAACTTTTTCTTGTACTATTACAATTAACAGAGTTAGGGAGGCTAGAAGTTAAGGGAAGATTTCAGAAATTTAAAAAAAATCATAACAAACAGAAAAATGATTGAATTTTGTAATTTTTTTTTTCAATCTGCTCTAAAATATGTAACTTTTCTTTTCAGAGAAATAGATATATTTTTTAATTTTTAATAAGAAAGTTATAACAAAAAATCAAATTTTTAATCGTTAATTTTAATGATTTAACAAAATTAAATTTCTGAAATCTTCCCTTAACTTCTAGCCTCCCTAACTCTGTTAATTTTAATAGTACAAGAAAAAGCTAAGAGACCATTTTTATGTAGAATTGTCTGCTTTACAACTTTCATTTTTTTTCTAGCTCTTACCCTTTTTGAGTTATCTTGAAAAAGCCGTTTGTTTTATCTTTTTCCACCCTTGGCCGGGGGTTGAACAAAAAATTACTCTCACTTATTGTTATAATATACCTTAAACTAACTCATATCAAAAATTCAGCCAAGATGGCAAAATTTCGATTTAAAGGCTTAGTTAATTGGACTATTAACTCTAAACGAATGATAAATTATGAACTGACAAGTTGACACAATGTGACAGTTTTTTACAAAGCCATTTCGCGCGACCGAAAATAATAAAAATTAGGTTTTTCCAGAAATGTTGCTATATCTTAAAAATTATCAACTTTAGGTGTAGAACATACTTAATAAAAGTGATGTGGACTAGTATGTGAATAAAATAGAACAATAAAATACAGGGTGATCCATTTGAAAAATTTTAGAAAATTAAGTTTGAACTTTCTAAAAATGATCGAATTATAAAAAATGCCCTGAATAAAATATCGACATTATATCAAATACTTTTGCTCCAGGTGTTAGTGGTTGAAAATTAATACAACTTCTTCGATGTCATGTTTTTTCCAAAATTCGAAGAATTTTCTACATAACTTGGCAACCCCGCAGTAAAATATTAAACTATTTATATTGCCATATATAGAGTTTTCTCGGAAATCCATATGTTTAAAAATATACAGGGTGTACCATTTAGAAAATGTAATATTTGTCATGTCCCGTTTTTACAAATCGCCCTGTATGTTTCAAATTAATTTTGTCCATTAGGTCTTTTGATTCTGTACAACTTTTATATAAACTTTTTTTCTGTATTATGAATAACAAGGGAGTTATTTTACTTCTCACACTAATGCCCCACCCTGTATATAAAAAAAATGTATTTTTAATAACAATAAAAGTCACACACATTATAATTCATAAAACGAAAAACGTCATAAATTGAAAAAACAAATAATAAAAATATTTTTTTAATATGGTGTAAACTTTTTGTCCAATACTGTTAACTACACAAGATATTTATAGTACGATCGTATACGATGCAAAGTAGAGCAAAAAATTGTCGGCGTTTTATCAAAGGAAAATCGTGTCATCATTTTTAGGAGGCGTAAGATGAACCATTTCAAATTTAAAATGAAATTGAATGTAAAATCTGAAATACCGCCGCATACGCACTGTGTTCTGGTAGTAGCTGTAGTCGGCCAGGTGCATCGAGTGTACGAAGTGGTCGGTTATACGTCAAATACTAACCTGGCGAGCTTGATCGTAGAGCAGGGAACAATAAACAGTGGCGCGTACAGAGGTGAAATGTAGTACATATGTGGAATTTAAATAACGAATTGGATTTATAATAAATTACATTTAAAACAAATAGTTTATGAGAATAAAGGGATTTTTGTAGGAACAGGGTTCCAGACGTGAACTGATCTCTTCATCGCACCCCATTACGATTCTTTTTTTTATAAGGAGAACGAAGTTTCAAAGCAAAAACCTTGTATAACAGATATACTATAAATATTTACAGAATGAAAACAAAATATAAATCCTATGATATGATTCTATCAAATGAAAACACTAACAACAATTCTCTACCAATCTCAACAAAATAAGTTATTTTTCTATCAAACAAGAAATGTTAACAAATTATAAACAAAATATAAATTCTATGATTTATGTACTGTACGCCAAACTGCATTTTTCTCATCTTCATTTAATATTAATTTCTTCTTTGCACCCCCTTTTTTAGGTTTCTTAACGTCTCCTTCAATTTTCTTCTCTCTTAAAATTTTGAAAACAGATAATTCGCTTACTCCAGTATATCTAGAACACATTTCCACCAAACCAGTCTTCAGTTTCATGGGATGATCCTTTTCTAAAGGGTTATAGACATTTAATATTATCGTTTTTTCTCTGTAACTTAATATAGATTTTTTTGTACC